CCCCCCCCCCCCCCCCCCCCCCCCCCCCCCCCCCCACGAGAAGAAAACCCTACTGGATCCCCATCCGCGCGTGGCTGCAACACGTCACGTCAACAGGCATTGAACAATAATCGGGCGTCGTAATTTGAAACCGACTGACGAGCCGACGGGCATGACAGCAATCAACACCCTTCAAACTAATCAAAAAAGTCGACTCTTGCAATGGAAACCGCATGCAGAAACGAGTCGTCCTCTGTAAACAACATGCCCACCACCGCACAGCAGCACGCAGTACGGGGGCAACGCCGACGATCCAGAAGCACACACGAGGCATTCGCGTGGACATTGGACATGTGCGGCCCATCGACTTCATGATCGTTCGCGGATCGCTTTAGCAATCTCCAAAAGGGCGTTGCACATCAACAGGTTCGCCTGGTCGGCCTTCACGTAGTGTTCCTTCTGCACTTCTAGCCCTAGCTCGAGAATGTCGCATTGCCTAGTCAGAATTGAGCACTGCCTCTTGCTCGCGCTGTCCACCGTCGTTGCCATCAGACTCCCGTGGTCCTTCATGACGTCTGCAATCGTGTCGAAGGTCTGTTGTCTCACATTCTTCCTTTTGCCGCACCCGCCCACAACACCGCCGCTGAAACTTGAATTCCGCGTCGATCCTTAATCGTCGTCCTGCCCATCCCCGCATCTGTCACTACCACCTTAATCGTTCCGACCTCCAATCCGGCCTGGCAGTTGAACACCTCCCGCCGCACCCGTGTCCGCCAGATTTGTGGGGTGTATAGTGTGATCGCCCTTGGACATGACCATCATCTTCGAATACACACGCTCGTCCATCCGAAAATCGAACCCCTGCTCCTTTCTCTCCCGCGGCGGCACTGTGAAGAAATCAGGCTTCCCCGATTCTCCCATGAACTTGTGCACAATTTTGAACTGCATGTACAGGTTGTCCCATTTTTTCCTGCAGTCGTCGGCCCTTCTAGTCGTCACCCCCATTTGCACGAGCCTGCTCTAGATGTCGGCCCACTTCCATGTCTTCGTCTTCATCCTTCCCATGTTGTGGCCGAGGCCAGCAAGATGCAATCCTGGTCTCTTTTAGCTCTGACAAGAGCAATCATGTGTTCCACGGTCCAAAAAGCCCTGCTTTTCGCTCCGTCGCCTGCCGACGCATCTCCCGCAGTCTTCTTGCCTCTCCGCCCCGCGCGCGGCTCGCTGGACTTGTTCGTCGCCCTGGGCCCTCCCCGTTTCTTCCCCAGCGGACGAATCTTCATCTCCCCGTCGTCGTTGTCGCTGTTGTCATTGCCCCCGTCGCCTGCCGAGCAATCTTCACCACCCGCACCGTCGTAATCGTCGGGTGTGTCGTCCGCCCGTACATTGATCTTCACCACCCCTCTCGTTATGGCGGACGTGCTAGATTGACACGATTGTCGCCGGTAATCATCCCAAACCTCTCGCCCCGCGACCTCCGGAGCGTAGCTGTCAGCGTTATCCCCTCCTCGGTGGGCTGCGCCACCTGCCGTTGTCGATCCACGTGTCCTCGTCCCCTCCGCGCGAACACCTGCTGTGCCCACTGCTGCCCGCCCTCGCGAAACGAGTCCACGTTCGTCGCCAGACTGACCTGAACCCCGACCACGGGTGTCACGAAGGCCACACGGCCCCATCAAAGGCGCTGTGTGGTTGCTGGCAGAACCCGGGTTCACGAGAACGGTGTGCGTGACGTCCTGGCCACTCCTTGACCTCAAACCGAGGTTGAGATCTACGAGCCCTCCGTAATAACCAACCGGGGTCCGCCCCTCCAGCATATCAGTGTACGTCGGCGTCGAGGGTTGTCTGTACAGCTGGCTCCCCATCCAATCCTTCGTCGAACCGCTGCCCAGAGGAACAGTTGATGATCGGGGCTCGTCGCTGTCGTCGTCACTCGGAGGCAATGGAATCTTGTGGGACGGCAGGTGGCTGTACAGCGTCAGGTCGTTCGAGCGCCTGCCGCCTTCCGCAGAGCTGCAACGCTGACGTGACGACCCGCCAGCCCCTACGGACATCGTCCTCTTCGTCTGCACCTTCTCCATCTTCCCGATCGCCTTCGTCATTCGCCGCCTCTGTTTCCTCCCAGGGACGCAACCGAGGATGCAGATATGAAAGACGACAACGGCAAGCAGCAGTACAGCCGCAAGCAGCAACAAAGGCAGCTTGCGGCACAGGTCAGCCATGAAGGAGAGGGGACGCACTTGGCTGTCGCGATCGCGGCGACCGGAGACACACGTTGCACGAGGGAAGACGCCAACGTGCGAAATTGCTGCAGCCACCAGCGGGGGGTGGACGCTTAAAGAAATTCGTGTTTCCGACCGTTGGGCAGCCCGCGGTAACGCTACGACACCTCCACGACCCGCCCGAAATCGTCCGACGCCCGGCACGGCACTGCCGTGGGGCCGCCCGACGAACCGACAGGGACGTACCGCCAATCCCCGACAACGGTAAAAAGACGAGGCCATTCGTGGACGTTTTGGACGTTGGCGCCTTACGATGTCCGTCTTCAACATGGAGGACCAGCACTGGACCACCTCCGACCACGAATTTCCCTTTTCGACTCGCCGACGACACCCCGATTATCGAGGATCCTCGGACTCCTAGGGACCTCGTGTGGTCCCTTGGAGCCGAGGACGATTTGGCTGGAAAATCCTCGGAGCCCGAGGATTTGTCCTCGGAGTGTTTTCACATTTCGGTTTCGAAAATCGGCTCCGAGGACAGGTGGAACGAAGACGAAATCCTTGGAATCACATCCCCGAGGTGTGTCGAACAATGCCCTTAGTGTGAGTGTGCCCTCAGTGAGGGCATCTCAGCGCCGTGGCCAGGTTGTCAGATTCCAGAAACTCGAGAAAAAAAAAAAAGACAGGAACACGGATTCGGCCGTGAAAATGGCAAGATACAGTCCCGTAAGTGCCAGTGTGATCAGGGTTACAATCCTCTGAGTGAACACAGCTCGAGCAGATCACGGACTCAGATTGTCAGATTCCAGAAAAAGAAAACAAGAAAAAAAAAACGGAAACACGGATTCGGCCTTGAAAACGACTGGATACATCAGGGTTACAATCAACTGAGGAGACACAGCTAGAGCAGATCAAAGATTCCGCCTTACCTCGTTGGCAGGGGACACATAACAAACAAAAGAGAAGTAAAAAAAAGAAAACAACAAGTTTCAGAATGTGGCCGTCTTTGTTGTAAGATGCATTCAAGACTGTGAGCACCGCCTCCTACACTACCCTGCCCGACATCATTGCAGTACAAAGGCTTTTTTTTTTTTCCTTTTTTTTATTTATTTATTTATTAAAAGGCGATGGTCTTGAGATATTATCATTGAGCTGACCGGCCCCAGGCAATTCATTAGTAGTTGGTTTTACTCATCAAGTTCCATCATCTGGATTCAAACACGGGTCTGTATCTTCAACAGTTCATGGGTGTACCCACTGAGCTAGGCTCTTGAGTTTTCCTTTTTTTTTCGTGCACCGGCAAAAGAAAACTACGATTTTTGGGACATCCCCTACCCTGTGTCCTAACCCTCGGGTACTGGCCAGGACAACGTAATTTCCCAACACTGGCGGAGGTACTGGTGGTCTAATGGCAACTCCCGCCCCAAAATCTACCCGTTTTCATGCTCTACCCGTTTTTAGATGAATACAAAAGCCGGGTCATTATGGCTATGTATGTAGACTGAATGGTGGCCCACATACAGCTATAATCACGGTGCGTTCTATTCTGGTGATGACGGGCAGTAGGAGGCGTCCTCACCTCACCCCACCCCACCCCCACATTGGCGGATAACAGAAGTACCCATCCGTCTCCTCCATGAAGGATGAGAGAGAGCCTCGAAGGAGAAGCTTTCCCTTTGAAAAGAGTGGCCCATTTGCTACAAAGCACACGGCGAAAAAACAGGAGGTCCGGTTCACCGTAAATGACGGTAATGGAAATGGCTATCTCAAACCCACGAGTCCATGCTCTCTCTCTCTCTCTCTCTCTCTCTCTCTCTCTCTCTCTCTCTCTCTCTCTGTGTGTCCTTTTGGGGACATTCTGGCTCGTATTCAAATTACCGTAATGGAAATGACTTTCTCAAAACCCAAAGTCCATGGCGCGTCTCTCTCTCTCTCTCTCTCTCTCTCTCTCTCTCTCTCTCTCCCCCCCCCTGTTCGTGAAGGATGCTTCTCATCTCCACTTCGGCACCATCGCCCGTCGGTCCCGGCGCGTCTAGTTTCGATTGAATAATATTGTATGATACTATATAATAAATTATAATAAATTATAATAGAACAAATTTCAAAAAAAATGTAAATTTGTGACATAGCGCATTTTTTAAAAATCTTCCGTCGTCCGCCCTCGGCGCCTTTTCGCCGTGACGAGGRCCGACTAGCAAAGAGATGATCGGATTTAAACCCGGAATCTGGACGCGTGTGTGGAAAGGTGCAGAAAAATCGCGTTTCATCCGCCTTTCTGCATCTATAACACATCCAGATTCATCCTTTAAACTCCTTTTCCATCCAATCCCCCCTTTGCTAGTGGGAAATTGCGCCACGGTCCTTGGATGCTGACGCAGATTCTTCGTATCACCTCGGTATTCCCGTTSTAATTCGTTATTGCGTTCCTGCTCTCCTGCGCCCACTCCCTCTCAGCCTCTCCTTCCTGTATCTGGACGGGTTTGCGGACAGGTGCAGAAAATCGCTGTAGTGTCTTTCATTCTCCATCGCTT